AAGAAATTGGTCTTTCTCCTTTGAATCCAAATTGGTTTCGGTTTGTGTTGGAGCTTGCAAGCTAGTGCCATGGGATGAACGAGCTGGAGAAGGAGCTGCCATTGCCATGAAGGACTGAGCTTCAAGCTTTGCTAAGTTGGAGAAGAAGATTGCACAAAGGAGGTATAGCTCATCTTCCTAAATAGACCTAGGAATTTCTTGAGCTTGCTAGTGTTCTTTGTAAGAATCTTTTTCTACTTAGTGGATTGCCTGGTCGGTTGATGACCCCCAGTTTTTCCCAATGGTGGGTTTCTGGGTGAACAAATTCTGGTTTGCATATCTGTAAATTTTCTGGGTTTGTGTTCTTGATAGTTGACTAGTCATCTGGGTTCTCGCGGTTGACTAGTCATCTTTATCTGCTGTTTGATGTTTACATGATAATGATGATTTCACACACTTTCACCATAGTTGTTGCTAGCACAGGGGATGCCTAGATTGACGGGTCCTTTTGAGTGCCTAGGTTGTCACTAGTAATCTTCTAGGGTTGCAGGTACATTGTGGCATGCTCTGTGTGTTCTCTTGATTGTGATTGTTCATGACTAGCAGTTGACTAGTCATATGTGTATTTGGTCAAGGTTTAAAGTGTGTGTAGATTGCTGTGTTGTTGTGTCTTGTTTGTGTGATTAAATTTACCCCTCGTCACCTAAGTACCATTTTCAATTGGTATCAGAGCGTCAGCTCTTAACAAAAATAGAGAGATCCTAGGATTTGTTTTGGTGTTTAGGTGTGCTCGCTATGGAAAGGGATCGAGTTGCTGGATCTTGCAACTCCCCTCCCTATTTTGACGGCAATAACTTCGCTGCATGGAGAGAAAATGCAAAAATCCGACCGGTTTTAACTCAAAATTTCTGGAGCTCGTTTGGACGCCTCCGGCCATCATTTTCGACGTTTAGGTGTGGATTTTGAACCTCTCGAGCTGTTCTTGCTGTCTGTTGAGTTAGATTTGAGAGATTTCTGTGTTTTGGAGGTTGATTAAGCGATGGAAGTTTGGCCGATTTTCGGCCTCCAATTCCGGCCACTTCCGATCATTTTTCGGGGTATGTCCAAGAACAAAAGTGACTCCAAATGGGGTTTTACACCTAGGAAAGGAAGCTTGGCCGGCGGTTTGGAGTTTTTCCGACTGCCGAAAATTACTCAAGGCACGTGTGGCGGCGCGTGGGCTTAGGAAAATGGACCAGCTTTAGGTTCTAAAATGATCTCCTGGTCCTGACGAGTGCGTAGGTGTGGTCGGATTTCAATTTGGTTAACGTTTGAGTCTCGAAGAGATATCGCATATCGCGCGTTATCCGGGTTTGATAGGTTTGGACCGTTGGATTGACTCCAATTTAATATATGTTGATCTAGGTATTCCTAGGATCGTGTAGGATTCCACGGATCGTAAAACGGAGTCCCGGATACTCTAGAAATGTCAACCATTGGGTTAGGTTTATAGTAATCGTCCGATCGTGAGCGATCCGACCGTCCGATCTGGACTAAACTTGCAGGACGTGTGTCCTAAACCTTGTAGAACCTATAGGAACTATCAGATCATAATTTGGAGGTCGTGGACCCTGCGGGCCCATTTGACCAAGGTTGGGTAGTTTGACCCTGGGTTGACTGTGAGACTTTTGAGATAGTTCTACCTTCCCATGAGGGTTAGAATGACCGTAGAGACAGGTCTTGATCGATAGTCGAGTTATGTGGATATTGTGGGTTTAGGATATGAATTGATGATTTTTAATGGGGGGTTTTATCGGATGCTGTATTGGTTGAGGTTTATACGATCTTAGATTCAATTTATATTTATATGTAATTGTAAAAGTATAAAAAGAGTTTAGAATGTCAGTTTGAAGTGCTATACGCACTACCCTAAGTACCACCTTATGATTGTGAGGTCACAAAAGTTAAATAACCAAATAAGAACAAGCTTTAACTTCAATTCTCACCAAGGATGTTCACTCCAATGAAAACACTCGAAATTTGACTAGGTAATGTCACTCATGTATGTGAGAAGAATCAAAGCAATAGGATGTACTCACATAATTGAAATAAAAGCACAAGACATGAATAAAAGATCTCATGGGAAGATATCGCATACTTGAAAATATTTAAACCATCCGACCATAGTCCTTCCACACCTAATCTCCACATGAGGAACCACACTTCTCCTTGGATCAAGTAGGACTTTCACTAAGGTTGAAATAGGGCTTAGGGTGATGGGTGAAACAAGAAAAAGATATGGATGAACAAACGAAGTCTAAGGGCTAAGTAAAGCTTTCCATGAAATTATAACATCTTGCACTTTAGCACACAATTTTATCTTGATACTGTCTGAAATATATATATATATTTTTTATTTTTTCACCTTTATTTTTTTTTTTATTTATTTAACTCCATTAGCTTTCTAATCAACCCATGTAACAAGTGTTAGGCCAATAACTCCCAAGCTAGATAGCTTTAGGGTATTAAGTGTAAAACACTCCTCAGGCTTAAAAACTCGAGTTGAAAGGCTTCGGAATCATACTTTTTTTTTTCTTTTTTTTTCTTTTTTTTTGAAACAGTATCATATACACATGATTGAACATTTTGTGCAATTCTCCCTTAACCATGAAAGTGCTCTACAAAGCTCCTTAGAAGGGTGTAGGATAAATATACAAAAGGTTAAGGTGAGGAGAATTGGGTAAAGAATGATAAAGGCTTACATAGAAGGCACAAGGGGTTGACTAGGGATAAAATTGATATGGGTTAGCTAGAAAGGCTCAAACGAACGAAACAAGGCCTATATCACTTCCTAGGATCCATGTGGTTCATGAAATATGCCTCAAATAGATAATGAAAGTAGTTCTAGCAAAATATTTAAACATCCTCAAGTATTTGACCAAAACAAAGAATAATGAGATCACAACGACTTGTAGACGAGAAAATTATAGAATAGTATATAACACTCAAGAAAGAAAGGGATAGGCTCAAAAGCTCACATAATAAGGGTTGCATAAGTCTACACTAGCCTTATTTGGGAATTTAAATCATGTGAACTCCAATCGAAAATCATATTAATATGGCTATGTGCAAAAAGATTTACCAAGTCTAATCACAAGAATAAGGCTAACACAAAGATAATGTAAAGAATTATTGTCATGCTCACAACTTCTTGAAAGTAACTTGTAAATAAAATTCAATCTCATCATAGAATTGGGAAGTGACTACTACAAACAAATAAAAACAAGACTCAAAGTAAAAGAAAATATTTTTTTGATTTTATGACATTTTTCTGATTTTTTTTTAAATATATTTTAAGGAGAGACAAAATTAGAAACAAGACAATACTCAATCACCCACAACTTAAAATAAACATTGTCCTCAATGTGTAAAATAAAGAAATAAATTAATGGATAATCAATTAAAGAGAGAGAGGGTTTGAGGACTTCCCGGGTTTTCTAGGTGTGCGGAGGGGCAAGAATTTGTTGAAGTGAGAGGAGATAAACAAGGCAACGAACTCACACACCCACAACTTGTGTCTTTGAATGCCAACGGACTAGTAATAGCTCCTAAAAGTCACGGAATGTGATGAAATTGGAACGAAATTGAGCTGGATATGTAATCATGAAAATCTGGAAATCTGACATTTAGCAACGAAAAATCTGATGAACACCGCGGCAAAAAACTCTTTAGTGACGAAAAATCTGATGAACACTGTCGCTAAAACCTCTTTGGTGACGAAAAATCAAATTCTGGGCAGAACAGCAGCTGCTGTTTTTAGTGTTTTAGGACCTTTTTTGAGCTTCAAATCATCCTAAAACATAATGTAGGCCACTGGAGGCCCCCAAACCTGGTCCAAATCGTCAGAATAACCATTCTAAACATGTTGGTGGCATCGGATTGACCTGAAAAACAGCAAAAAATAAATTAGGCAGAAATTCTAGTTTTGACCAAAATAAGAACATAAAAGCTATTTTTCTGTTTTCTGGTATCTAAACTCAGCCAATGACCAAAAAAACTTCTGGAACACATTTGAAACATGCTGCAAACACCCTAGGGCTATAAAAATGTGAAAATTTTTCTTTGGAACACAAAATCCATTGTTTGATGACCCAAAACATAACAAAAACAAAAATTTGAAAATTTATGAGAAATCACACATAAACTAAAACAAAAGTTAAGAATGGTTGGGTTGCCTCCCAAGAAGCGCTAAGTTTAAAGTCTTCAGCCAGACGCGGTTCTTTAGATGATTAAACAATAGATGGGGGTGGTGCATCCACAAGCATGCTCTCTTTTCCAAGCTCAAAAGATTCATAGTATGGCTTCAAGCGATGTCCGTTCACTTTGAATATGTTTCCCATCTTGTCATTTTGAATCTCAACTGCACCATGAGGGAAAACATTAGTAACAACAAAAGGACCATACCATCTAGAACGTAACTTACCT